AAGCCACAGCGGTGAGAGGCGAATGCTTTATGTACTGCAAATCAATTCTGGTTCCAAACAGGAGTCATGATTCCATTCGGAATCGATTTTTTTTTTTTTTAATTTATCAAAAAAAAGTCATGAGGATCAGACCTCCATATTTTCACTTATGATGGTACTGAATCACTATAACGAGTGTCATTTAAAATAGTTGTAAAAATGATAATTTAGGGCTTACCACAAATATGGACATGTTGAGTGACATAAAATTTGTTTTGAAGTGTCTTGAGGTGTCTAGGGGGAAAATGGAATGATGATTCTGATTCCAACTTTGGAATAGATTATTTTCTATTCTGACCCGGATTTGTCAACTCTAATCCTATCAGTGTGGCAAATGTGATTTAGCCATGGCCATACCATTACTATGGCCTCGGCACAATGTGTCCACTGTACAATGTAAATGTAATATGCCTGTGTACATGTACATGTACTGTACATGCCAGTGGGTCAACATACAATACACACACAATCTCCAGGCCTATTGGGTTGTACATACACAGTAAAAAAATCACATCTGTTCCCCAAGATTGGCCTCAGCTTTGTATTTTAAAGGGGGAGGGGGGGGGGGGGGGGCAGGGGGAGGGTGGAATGAGGGGGAGGGTGGAATGGGGGGGGGGGGAGGGGGGAAGGGCAGAAGGGGGTGGGGGAGTTTGACTTTTTCTTTCTCAGAAGCAGCCAGTTTCATGGGGCTTCAAAATGTTTGTTTAAAAAAATTGGCTAACAAAGTATATTTCGCCATGGATGCATTCACTCATGTTTTTTTGCTAAGAACTTGAAAAATACACATTATGACATCATCAAAATGTGACTATTTAAACTCATTTAAGGCATCAATATGATTGTGATGAATTTATTTGATACGAAATACATGATGTTAACACAACATCATCAGTTGATTCTAAATATACTTTTTTTTTTTTCAATTTTTCTACTTTTATCCCGTGTGAATATTGGCACAGGAATATCCACATGACAACACATGGACAAAGTTCCTAGCGCTATAAATACGTTAACGCATAACTAGCCGAAACAGCCAGTCTGTGGAATAGCAGACACTCATTCTCTAGGTTTGTTTTACTCTTTTTACGTGTGCATGTATTTACACTTAAAGAAACTGCGATTAGTGAAATCAATCGATACACCAACAATGCTGATGTCCATTTTACAACTGATTTTCAGCAGATTGCGCACACAAAAATTTAAATTTTTGTTTGAAATAGCAATGATTTTCACAAAGCACGCTAATCTAAAGAAAAACAGTCACATCATCATACAACTTTTGCCCCACTCGGACTACACATGTACATGTCGTTTTCAATCTGTATTTACATGTACATGTAATAGTTTTTTTTTCAGACAGAGAAATTTCAGACCGTTTCCAGGCCAACAGGATATCAACTAGACTTGACCAGTGACCGTGTAAAGTATGTCAGTCTGGATCAATGCAAGCCCAGTTCACAATTCAGATGTTTTTGTCTTTTCCCCCAGACCAACCGGTGAAGCAGGTGTCTTGGTAGATCCGTGGGGTGGATGGTTGCATTTCCCCCCCAGGACTACTTTGGCCTTTTGCTCCCTCGGAAAAGTCTTATTTTTCCTGCAGCCAGCAGTGTTTTTGCCCACCTGTCCTTGTTTCAGGGAGAGGAAGGCAATAGAGTTGATTGAAGTCTAAACTTCATCCAACCTCTGTGGCATAGATGTAAGAACTATATATATATTGCACCTGTTGTAAAGTTGTTTTGTAGAAAGCGTGAAAAATCACTACTGTATATATGTATATATTTTGTTCTCTTTATGAAATGGGCACTCATCATAAATATCACAAGTTTGCAAACAACAGACACCCTTTTTATTAGACCTTTATCATGCTGCCACCATTTCAGTCATGTTCCCTGTATGCAACAACAGTACTGAATGATAATTTTTTTGGTGCAAAAAGGAACCAGACTATTTTTCCTTCCAACCTCGCTTTGGTTGTAAACGTTGATTTGAAAGGGAAAAAATCAAGATGGCCGCAACATGATTATGGTCTCTACTCAATCCATGTTACAAAAACATGTAAACGCTTCGTTGTCATGAAATCAGTTCACAAGGGCTTCAATCCTTGTATCGTAACTGCTGCTGAAATTTGTTGTCTGCTGTGATATCCGGTTGCCATGGCGTTTTGTATGACCGAGGGTGAATATGGCATCAGAGGCTTCGCCTTGGGTGCAATTTGCTCCCGCGGATCACAGCAGACAACAACACACAACAACCATGGTTTTATTTATTTTATTCCTCTCCCCTTTTCCTTTGCTTATAACTTTTTTGCAATGAGCTCTCATTGGTTCTGTACACATTTTCTAATCGACGTTGTCCTCGATTTGGTTCCTGTCCTCAGTTCAACGATGATGTTGCACGTGTGTGTCCTCGATTTACACCATAAACCTACTCGCACATGATACACACACACACAGAAGGAATACACTATCGCAATATCCCTCTGTTGGCTTAAAGCTATAGTCCATCATTTGCAGCCATCCGAAAAGTAACTGGCGTAATTATTGTTGAAAAACAAACTTGGTTGAAAGATAGTAAGGGAACTAAACTCCCTGTGAAATTATCCTTTCTGGCAAGCTCTCATGTTGAAGAAATCAACGAAAGAAGGCATTTCCAACGGTGCTTCTTAAGAAGCACCGTAGTAAAATTTAAATTAGTTGTTCGTTTTGTTATTCGGCGCAGCGCGCACAAGCATTGGAACGACGCACAGGCGCGCGCGGTTGCTATAATTCGTCGGATCAGTGCGCGACATCGCGTAAAGCTGCAATTCAAAACAATTCGAAACATGATTTAGCAACTTTTGATTTTAAATTGAGATCCTAGAATGCTGTTTTTCTCGGAATATGAAGCTGAAGCTGAGCTGAAACTTCATCAAGTAAGTTGTTCAGTATCCTTCATTAGATTTTGAACACTTTTGTTGCTTCAAACGAACAAAATGCACTAATTACAAATGATGGACTATAGCTTTAAAAGCCAGGGGGATAAAAAAAAAAATGGCACCTGATAATAAAACGTCGCAACTTTACGATTAAAATAACGTCCCAGTTGTGTGTACATACATGTACATGTACGTGCGAACTTGTTATTTATTTATTTTTAATATTCCAACTGGCAAAAAGCTATTCAAACACGCAGTTGATGATCGAATATTCAGTATATATTCGGGATAGTTCTACATGTTTGAGGGATTTGCACTTTGTGGGAGTCATCACCTGGTGGTGACGAAGTCATCATGCTGCAGAACTTTGCATTGTTTTTCCCCCTCTTTGCAGGGGCAAGTTTCATGGAGTTACTGAAGGTCGCCATTTGCTGTGCCAATAAAAAAATATGACATTAAAAAAAAAAAAAAATTTGGAATTGGATACACTTTAATCAACTTAAAACAGCTGAACTGTCTCAATCAATTGGGTAGGATGCTAAAAATCTGTGTAAATCCAATCATGTGCACCAGGTTACACCCAGACCCAAAATAGCCATTCTAATTTACATTGCTGCATAAACTTTGGAAAAGTATTTTGTTGGTCATGATTAGTCATTTGGGGTGTTGGACTAGTGCACTAAATCTTTAGTGTTTCATAACATGCCACCAACGGCTGAATTATGTAGAGTTTGTCCTTAAACTCCTTTTCAGATTCTTCCTGAAGTTGAAGAAAAGTCTCCTTTAAAAATTCACTTTAGACCTCAAACTTGGCTGGTGAAATACTGAAGAATTCGAGAATTCAGTCAGTTGATGAGTGAGTAGAGGGAGTAAAGAGTCAGTAAAGTGAGTTTTTGTTTTACTAATTTATAAACTGCTCAGGGCCCCGTGGAAGACCACATCATATGTGAATGGGGTACCCTGATAAAAGATCAAGTAAATAAATAAATAAATAAATAAATAAATTTGGCCTGATTTTGTTTTGCATGTTTTTCTGCACTCAAGGTCCCAGTCTGGCAGGGATGCATCAAGTCATGATTTAGCCCTAACCGCCCTGAATCCTCCAAAATCCTTTTAGCAAATTGGAGGAATTTGCAGGATTGAGGTTACATGGCAAAAGTGGGTTGCTGATTTCGGAGTACGCACTGTGTCAAGGTCTTGGGCCGGACCTTGTGTTGTTTAATGCTCAGCCGTGCATAAATTTAGTCCTTGATTATACTTGACATCCTCCGCACTGCTCCAGGATGTCACTGCCTCTGCCTCAGCCTATTGACAGTCATAGCTGGAGGATTTTGCAGGATTCAGGCAGTGGTCACCCCTCCATGGACCATATTCAAGAAATAGCGGAGGAATTTGCAGGATTGAGGCTATACCGTATGTCATTTTTCCATGAGGCCAATTGGAGGATTTTGCAGGATTGAGGCTACATCCTAGCAAAAAGGCCTAGGGAGTTAGTTAGAGTGTAACACAATTTATGGGGTGCGTTACTTTTCCTCAGTACATGTAGGGCCAGTAGGGGCATCACAATCTGTGCAAGGTGGCTCAAAAATGCTGCCAAAAAAACGTCAAAACCATATACATGGAGCGTTAGCACTCTGACGTAGGGGTTGTGTAGATTCTGCAAAAAGGATGACCCACTGTTGGACCATGGAGGAAGTCCTTCCTCCATGGTTAGACAATGACACAACATTCCCGGGTCATGGGGTGCATCATGTGCATTTAACTTGAGAAGTTAAGACAGCTGTACACGTATGTAATGTGTGTCCTGTTGTAATTTGTACATCATACGTGTACATGTACATTGTTCTATACACATACTGAACATACATAAATAACTGACTGAACATACAATGTACACAAAAAATATTCAGATCACAAAACACCTGTACACATGCATTTTAATTTATAAGGTCATGCAGACAAACTCCAGTGGCAGTTGAACAAGATTAACAACGATAAAACGGTGAAGGAGTCCAGCAGAGTCGCCGTAACGCGAGAGCTTGCTTACCTGCGTGTGTGCAGTAGTATGCCCGTGTGATGTGCTCGATCGCTGCCGCTGTCTCATAGGGTACACGCAAATGTACCGTACAACCACTGTGTTCTGAAGCCAGCCGAGACGGTTCTCGATGTTGTGTTTTCACCGACTATACAACTTCGGTTCCCATATCATGCGTGCAAATTCATGAAATTCATCACACGAAACGCAGTATCACATTTGGTCGTTGACAAGAGGCGAGATTTTTCGCACACTGTTGTGTTGGTGTACACTGATGATAACCTGATGACAACAGCCACACATGTGTACAATCTGATCAGATCCTGGGTTACTGCATGGCCAACAGCCACTCGCCTCTGTTTACCACACTCACGACCGACACACTGTTCTCCTTTCGCTGGAAACTGAGATTCCTTAGTGCTGACTGTACAGAGTTATTCATTCCCCAGCGCCGAGCAGCAACAAAGCACGGGCGATCAGACTGTATGCCAGGGTGGGTAGGCTCAGCCAGTGCTAAAGGAGTGTCCAGCGATGGTGCTCACTGGAGCAGTTCTGTGAAAAAAACCACCATCTCAACACCACGGGCAAAACAACAACTTGTGGCAGTCCGACCATTTCACAAGCCCGATCATAATACAAACCCATAAAGCAGGGTCACATCACACAATGTATTCTGTGGAGGCTGGCCGCATAATACCTCTACCATAATACACTGCACAAGCACAGTATCCCAACATGGTGCCAGACTGTCCTATTGCTCGCTGTACACGTACATTGTGCACACACACACAGTGCATTCTGGATGGCACCCGTACACCGCACACTCCCCAGCGCACTACACACTGCATGCACTACAGCTATGGGCTGTTCGCCGAGGATAATCTCTTTAAAGAAAGCAATGGGTTTGTCCATTTATCGGTAGGGGTGGGTGGGAAATATGGCGGGAAATCAACAAGGTCAGGATAAGTGGAAGCAACCCCTTAAAAAAAAAAGGGAAAGAAAGGAAGAAATGACCACCGGGGTGCATCTGCGAAAGATCTTGACTCAAACAGGATGCTGCCTTTATTGGAGTATCAGTGAAAGCTGACCGTATACCAGTACACATTTATCCAGATGTTTGTTCCGTTATCAATTTTCTAGATTGTACATGTACATATTTACAGGTAGAAATTCTAGCAAGCATAAAGGAGAACGAAATTACAGCAATTTCCTTTTTACTTAGAACATTTCCACATGTAAATTGCACGCACATTTGCACCACATTTTCATTTTCACTGAAACAACAAAAGATTCTTTGATCAGCAATCAACATCATAAGTTTCTAAACGTGATTTAAGTCTGTTTTGTTTTTAAATCTCATTAATTGTTGCTTTAGAACAAAGTGCATGTAAATAAACCGTAGGATACGAACCCGCAACATTTGCTTTTGTTGTTGCAAAATGTGGACACGTATTTTACACTCTCTCTGCAAATTTTTTTTTTTTTGGATTGATGGTTAAGTAAGAAAAAATCACTGAGTCCAGGTCAATTTGAGCCTTTTTTTTACCCAAGTCAGAGTGAATTTATTTCACAGCTTGGTGTGGGTTAGCCCTAACTCCCTAGGCCTTTCTGCTAGGACGTAGCCTCAATCCTGCAAAATCCTCCAATTTGCCTCATCGGAAAATAGCATCTAGCCTCAATCCTGTAAATTCCCCCATTTTTTCTTGAATATGGTCCTTGGAGTGATGCATCACTGCAAAATCCTGCGGCAGTGACTGTCAACATGTTGAGGCTTGGCCAGTGACATCCTGGAGCAGTACGGAGGATTTCAAGCATAATCCAGGCCTATATTTATGCATGGCTGAGCAAAAACAACACCAGGTACAGCCCAAGACCTTGACAAAGTGCATCCTACGAAATCAGTAACGCACTTTTGCCATGTAACCTCAATGCTCGATATTCCTCCACTTTGGCAAAGAGGATTTTGTAGGATTCAGGGCGGTTAGGGTTGGATCCTGAACCCTGGTGTGTACACATCATGATTCATGAGCATCAACTAACCTTGGTTGATTTCAGACTGAAATATGGCAAGTGCAAATGGGTACAAAACCCTCCGAAAAAAAAGATTCTGAATCAGGCTAAGCTTTGAGGATTCTGAATCAGGCTAAGCTTTGAGGAGAGATACATGTAGGAGAGCGCTCCAAAGTTTGGCCTACGGTAGTACACACTTGCTTCACCTCTTTAACAGCAGCAGCATTAGGCAGAATGCAATCAACTAACTTGGGCATCCAACTTGTTAATGGACATCCAACTTGTTATAAAAACAAACACAAATTTGAATACACTTGAGGTCAAATCTTTACCTGATAAAAGCACCAATCCATCTACACGTGTACAGTCCCACTGTTGAAATGTGCACAAACTATTAGCAAGAAATCCCCTTATCACCTCAATCCAGCTTAACAATCTCAGGTTTTAACGAGAATAAGCATTAAACTCAACATGGGTTTAAAACTTGATAAAGAGTATGGTACATGTATTTATAAACACTCTAGGCTATCACTCCTCAGTCCTCCCATGGAGCAAAAGAAAGGAGGTAGAATTAGATTCTACCTCCATGGTCCTCTAAAATCAACCAGGCTCTTTTGGGGGATTTTGGGGGATTGAGGCTGCAGGCTATAGATGTCTTTACCATGCATAGAGGAAGGAAAATGGTGTATACCCATTGATTTTGGAGGATACATTGTGTCAAGGTCTAAACTCGTTCATTGTGTTGTTATGCTTCTAAAAGCCATGCATAAATTTAGGCCTATAAGTTATCCTTCTGAGCGCGAGTGGAACACAGAATAATGCACATGTAGTGCGTCTATGTCCCACATACCGTACCACAAAGCCAAATGTGTCCCACAAACACACTACATTTTCCGTGTTCCATGAGCGCGAGTGCGATAACGAATTTATCTTCAAGCAAACTTGACGCGCAGTTAAGTTGGAAGTATACCGGTAGCACGCTTTATGTGAACCTTTTTAGCGGTTTAGCGCATGCAGCTGGAATATCGCTCGCATCTTGGAATAGCACAATACGCAGGTTGCGATACCGACCGTGTGATACAGTTGGAACTACCGGTAGCACGCTTTATGTGAACCTTTTTAGCGGTTTAGCGCATGCAGCTGGAATGTCGCTCGCATCTTGAAATAGCACAATACGCAGGTTGCGATACCGACCGTGTGATACAGTATAATATCACACTAATGTTGCCATAGATCGACCAATCAGGATCGGGTATACTTGAGTTTGCTTACAGATAATACTGGATATCATCCCAACTCCACTTAACAAATATAAGAAATAACATGATTTGGGAGGATTGAGGCTATACCGGTATCTACATAGAGGCAGTTGGAGGATTTTGCAGGATTGAGGATGCACACAAGCAACAAGGTCTATGGGGGAAAGAGGAACATTTTTACAATGAAATCCTTTCCCTAAAACAATCATCATCAACGGTTCAATTAAAGATTCAACAATCTGTGTACACCATTCCAAGCAATAAACAAAAGACTATTGTTTCTAACAGTGGACACCCAGAGGCAATTTGAGGGCTTTGAAAATTAAATTAAAAAAAAAGAATGTAGCTTTAACTTTTGCCTTGTACGTAAGATTTCGAGCAGGGCATCAACATTGCAAATCCCTCTTTCCTACAACATGAGCTTCCAGATCGATGGAAGCAAAAAAATAAAAAGTCCAACACAACATGTACCATGTACCTTTTCTGAAAAGTATCATTGAATACTATCATTCAGTCAAAAAAGAAAATATAAGTCAAATCAGATACAATCTTGTTTGCTACCTGAAATTTGTCACTTTCAGTCCAATTTCTTGATGTGTTTTACGTACATGTAGTGTGCATGGAGCTATTAAAACCTCCATATCTTTAGGAGTATACCCGGTACATGTACATGTAGCTCCATGGTTTGGTGGTGCAAATCTACAAGAGTACGTGTACTTCAGCATTCTGGATAAGAGAAAAAGCTGGTATGCCTGTACATTTGCAATTTTCCCCATAGATTTGAGACCATCCATGAAACATGCAATTGATAATATCAAAATTACAAGACAAACGAGAGCAACAACGGAGCCCACTGTTTTGAGATGCCCATTTTCAAGCAGGCCCATGTAAGGCAGTCCATCTGCTACACCTTCTAGTTGACTTTCTGACTGCGAGCCTTTAGAAATTTCCCCCTCCTGCCTTTATCATTGTTTTTTCAAGAAAAAGCGCTGGTATCCAGTCCGCCGCCATTTCCCTCCCCGTCCGGGTCTTTATAAACACTTCAGAAATATAACAACAACAGAGAAACCACCGCCTGCAGCTGGGGACATTAAATATTTACTCATGGCGGGAAAATTAATAGCTCAACGTTCTCTGTGTTTCTCTCTTTCTCCTCGCTGGGCGGACTGATTTCATCACGGTAGTGAGACCATAACCAAGACACAAACGGTGAGTTCGGAGAACAAAGACGTCGACGGAAGCATGAAGACTGACAAAATTACTTGATAATTTAAAAAGAAAATTGTAAATTTAATCAACAGTTGAATGAAGAAAGTTGTTAATTGTGTGTACGGCATGGCAGTTACTCGAGGTGTTTTTTATTATCAACGTCTGTGTGAGCACACGGTAGTTTTAGCGTGCAAGCCTTTGTGTTGAAAAAAAGTCCAACAATCAAATTTGAAAAATTTTCAATACAGAATGATTGTCGTGCATGGAGGTGCCAAGGCCTAGAGTTGAAATAGTGGCGCAGTCTTTGTGTTCTTGGTTTGGTTGTTTTTATCCAATACATATTCACAAAACTGTTAAGTAACAAAAAAATGAACACGTACCCTGGTAACAAAATATCTCAATAACAATCGCGATTCACGAGTTAATAATGAAGTTGTAGGGAAAAAAAAAAATCTCTACAAATTGTTTGATCGCTGACTTCTCGATTTACAATTGCCCAACCAACATTGAAAATTATGAATTTTGCCCTTTCCAAAAATTGTGTAGAAATGTTCTCCTCGAGAAGTTTGCACAAATATACACCCCAGAACATCGTATGTATTATGTCACTGAGTGATTTCGCCAAATACAGGTAAATTTGTAAAGCATTAACTGCAAAGTATTTATGGGAAAATCTAATATTTTTGTGCTTGCCATGAAATTCTACAAAAAGTTAAGATTGCCTCGCATGCAATGGGAAGCAAGGGAAAACGCACACACACACAAAATGTATGAACAAAATGATACCCCTTTGCACACCCCTAAGTATGACATAATGGAACAGCCTGAATGATTCTGCTTTGACTATATGCAAATTCCATGATGGGATTTGCATATGACTGGTCCTCCAGCTGGCCCAGCCTACATGTAGGTCTGTGGTTTCCCAGTTCTATGGCACAAGGGTTTTATGGGCTGATCAACAATGCCGCCCTCATGCCTCATTACCCACGTTGTGGGCTGTGGCCAAAAAAAGACTTCAGAAGTGTTTATTTTTAATTAGCAAGGGGGGCTAGGTAGAGACATGATGGGGGCAAGGGTTCCCCTCCCTTTTGTTTGAAAAACAGGTCAGGCCCTTTCCGTTTCGTCCATTTTCCCATCCCCCCCCCCATTTTCAAACAGTTAAAATCTAATTACATTTTACATATTGTACATAGTGGGTGTGCATGTACGTGTCCATGCCAAATCATTTGTCCATTTCAACTGAAAATTTTCCCATTCTGAAAATCTGAAATTCCCTTTCAAGCTCAACTCTTACCGGTACATGAAGGTTACATGCACAAGTACCGT